TTTCCTGTTGACTACATCCAACCACTATCTTATCCCAACATAGTGCACGCAATGTTGAGTCATCTAGACTGGTGATCATATTTCAAGTTGGTCGATAAGATTCGATCTGCACTAAGAAGTACCTAACATACATGACATTGATCATCATCCAGTGATCAATCAATTGTAAATAATGACAATAATAATTCTATATATACAAGTTATTCTATAAACGAATGCAAAATACAACTATTACTTTTTTATAGATTAAAAAATTAACCAAATTACATACCATTCACTTAATGGTTACATATCACTCATTATATGTGTATAGTTTGTTTTTTTAATGAATAAAATACTTTATGAAATAATTGCTGAAATTTTAACTGTTTACTGTTCAATAAGTAATTCCTTTATCTTGAATAATTAATGAGAACATAAGTATGTAAATGTACTATTACTTCATATAATTAAATAAAACATTCATTATTCTCTTTATAAAGTTAGTTTTTCTACATGAATGATAAAGTTATTGAGATTATCAAGTTGGAACAAGTACATATCCATATTGATATTAGAATGGAAATTGATTAAAGGCTTTATACATTAGTAAATAGTCTACTTAATTAGTTGTTAAAATATAATTAATTATAAGAAACAATATGAGACAGTGTGTAATACATTATTTTGGAAGCATAATACTAAACCTTATATATACATATATTTGATGGAGTTTTGTTCTCTGAGCTGGATAGTTTGGTCGTGGAGATTTCATCGTTCATCTAAACAACATCATTAGCACAAACTCCGGGTAAATATATATATACAAGAACGAAACGGTGGTCCAGTACTTCCATGTTTTCAGTGGTGGTCTAGCATGGATCGACTAGTGATTTTTACCGTGGAAATTGATTGTTTACAATTATTTTAACAGATTAGTTTTCATCAACGGATAGCGAAATTTACAAAGATATCTGATAATCTTACGCCAAAAATGTTAAACTTATAAGTAATGGAACAATATTTCGCAAAATATTCTTTTGCTCACATACATTTATAGATTTAACATGAATGACCAGGATATAGCTGGTACCTTGACAGATTTTTCAGGTTTACTTATCCTAACAACCCAACCGAGCTATGTTAGCTAAAATACCTGTTCATACGATCTTGCCTTGACAAACCGAAAAAAACTAAAAGGAGCAAGTTTTAACCTCTAGGTTTTACTTATATTGTAGACCATACTAGATTACGGCGATAACACTGTGTTTCCTCGTTCAGTATATTTTATCTCCTCAATTTATTCATATATGATTACTGAATCTTATGAGTTCATAATGTTTTGTATTGGATATCTTAGAGTAATTATAATGGTTTGTGTAATTTTATCGGGTTCAAAACATGATACCGGATCTAACACCGACAGATGTATATAATGACTAGCATATAACGACTCCTCAACAATAAAATTTACATGAAAGTACGGAGAGAAAGGATAAGACTTGCTAGAGACTTTATGTGTTTCGAGAAAAGACGATCAAGCAAGTGAACATCACAATACATATATTAATATGCAAAACAAAACGACCGACAGAAATAGGTGTCAGTTATGTGATATCCACAAGTCTTAATAATACTGTCGTTATGGGAACCTTCATTATTCGCATGGTAATATTTTTAGTTAACGTATCGTTACTCGAAGTTAGCCTATCATACTAAACATAAAACCTGGTATATTTGTACATCAGTTCAAACTCCCACACCACATTAGCATACAAATCCTAGAGTAGTTAAAATAGCAACAGTATCATTGGTAGTAAAATATCTTACGCATCGACAGTATGATTCAAGTATTAAGAATGAATTCAAGAAATAAAAATGTACAAGACAATTTTAAAATTCCAAATCTAAAAGAAGGTAAATAGTGAACGCATATATGTCATCACAACCAATTATGAATCATGTCACCCATTACCTCTGACCGTTGGTTACATTAATCACACAAACCCCAACACAATTCAAAAAACAGTAAATTTTCTTCAAAACTATAATTCTGCAGAATTATTCATTGCCTAATTACTTAGTTTCTATTACTGATGAAGTTTACTTATCATAATTAACAATTCCTTTCACTCTAATCAACTTTACAATTTTTTCCGATTACTGCTTATACTCTCACTATCTCTACCACTACGGGAGTTGAATCGACAGTTGATAATTAAGGTTAGGAATTAGATTCACGGTTTTTCATAACGAACTTATATAAGCTAAAATGTCAAGACAGATATTTGGCCAAATGAGTGAATGCATTCCGCGCCAAAATACAAGACCTGTTATCCTAAATCTGATTGGTTCGTTCATAAATTATAGTCTTGCTGAATTTACTTTAAAACTAGGAATAAAAAACAGTATGATAATATTTGTCTACATATATTTTCAACATATTCTATTTATTATTATCAAAATGGATTTGTGGAGATTTTTAGAAATTTCACTGGTTGAAATCATGAGTCGATTGAAGCTAGACCACCATGGAAAACCTGGAAGCACTGGACGGCTGGTTCGTCCTAGTATGGGGCTCATCAGCAGTGCGCATGCACGATCCCGCACCCTGTGAGATTCGAACCCAGGTCCTATCAGTCTCGCGCACTGCTGAAGAGTTCCGTACTAGGACGAAACGGCCGTCCAGTGCTTCAAGGTTTTCCATGGTGGTCTAGCTTCAATCGACTCATGATTTCAACCAGTGAAATTTCTAAAAATCTCCACAAAACCCATTCTGATAACAATAATCACTTGCTCACTAGTGACTGACTTCAGAAGATACTCTTGGAGTTCTAGTGAGAAGTCGTGACCAGTGGAGTTCAACCAGGTCTGTTGTGAGATAGGAACTCACTGAAAACAATGGTATACGGTGGCGCAACTTCGTGGATTGATTGAAGTTAGACATTAACACCGTCGAATGCCGGATCAGTGGTCTGGTTGGTTAAGGTCCTGGAGCGAGTCTGATAGGACCTGGGTTCGGATCTCGCGGGGTGCGGGATAGTACATGTCCGCTGCTGAGGAGTCCCGTACTAGAACGAAACGGCCGTCCAGTGCTCCCAGGTTTCCCATGGTGGCCTAGCTTCAATTGACTCATGATTTCAATCAGTGATATTCTACTTATATTAGCTTAAAATAGTGATATTCTGTATTTTTATTTTAATGTCTTAAATAGAATAAAATTAAACAAATATAAAGAAGTATCTTCGAAAGAAAACTCTTGTGAAATTTTTACAATGTATTCATTCATTTGTAATGTAAATTTTGTTTTTAAAAATTTTACTAAATCTTTCACTAATTAAAAGATGGTACCTACTACGTAAGAGGATAAACCAACTTCTTGCTGAAGAAGAAATTAGAAAAAGACGTTGGAAGTGAATAGGACACACATTAAGGAAAGCATCAAACTACATCAGGACGCGAGCTCGAACTTGAAATTCTGAAGAGAAACGTAAAAGAAGAAGATCAAAGTACACATTGCGCTGGGAATCGGAAGCAGGCATGAAAAGAATGAATAGTAAGTGGAAACAACAGGAAAGGATTGCCCATAACGGAGTTGAATGTAGAATGCTGGTGGATGGCCTATGCTCCTCCACAAGAGGTAACAGGCGTAAGTAAGTAATATTGTGGTGTAAATTGGAATTAAGTCAACCTTCAAGAAGAATTCCCTAATGTAATTTTTTCTGGAAGTTTTTTTCATTTCATGTATTGGTTTTCTTCGAAACAGTAAATCACTTAGCCTTTTTAAAGTATACACATGTTTAGTTTTTCTTTTATTAAATATATAAATCTATTCGATTCATTCATTTTACAGTCCTAAAGAATTAGGCATTATTTAGCTGAGTAGGCTGTGGAGATTAGTTCAATGAGAATACGGTCCAAATCACAAGTTATTATAACCTGGAAAAATACAGATAACTAGGGAGAATTTGACAGCTGCTTCGTTCTAGTATATGTCGAGAAGGAGGGAGAAGGCGCTAACAATGAATGACGGTCACTCTACATTAAGAATTGATTGTAGTTGAAAATATGGGTAGTTAGATTCTAACTAATTGGTTTAAAGGTAACACCCTCATTGTGAAGCCTGAAGGTTCTAAATTAAATTTCTAGTGAGGTCGTAAATTTACAGTGTTTAAGATGAAGTAGCTTTTCAATGCTCTTTAGTTCCCATTGATTCCTTAGTTGATTTCATTTCCTAATAAAAACCGTTTCCATAGACGAAACTTGTAATTTGTGTCTTTGCATGTTTACACTATTAATTTAATCACAGTTACACTGCTTACAGTGAAGCAGGAATTTACAATTCAACCGTACACGACATGTTGGTCATTTTAAGAATAATTCGACTTCATTTTACGAAAACCATTATACCAAGTAAATCAAATCCATTGAGGAAACTTCAAGGGATTATTTGTTAGTAAACAGTAGTTTATTTTTTTGTACAAACTGTAACCAACTACTTAAGCACATTTACCGTATCGGCTGAAAACATTTGATAATTCGAATTTTATAATTTTTTTAAACCAAGGCTACCATATATACTTTGGGAACTTTTCTTTAAAAGTTGGTCAATAAGCGGTACGAGAATGATTGACTTTCAGTTATTAGGTTCGGTTTAACTAATGCAACGAATGTGAATTTTCACAGTGCCTTCTATCTAACGTGTATACCATAAAAGGCGATACACAGTTAAATGAACGATTATTACCCTTAGCTGACCATATGTAAAACTCTTAGATCTGCAAAATATCGTGCAAGAGTCAAATAGATCATTGGTAATCTTTAATTGTGAAACTGGGTGACATCATTTTGAACTCAGTGATAACCATCAGTTCCTTCAAGAGTGAAAATACATCCTGATAACGATTGTGAATTAGCTCAAAACCTGAGTTCATATCATTTAGCTGATCACCTCCAGTCACCTAACAACAATCAAATAAAAATATACATTCCTCAAAATGCAAAAGTATATACTAACTTACTTTATGGACAAATACTGGTAAGCCTTGATCAACACCACCTTGTAATACAAATCCCCAGGATTTATCTGATGTTGCTCTGCGAAGACTAATTACTACTGGTTCAAGTGCCATCAATGTTATTATTAATGATTGTAATAATGATAATAATTACAAGGATATTAACACATTAACAATAATGCTTCAAGTAAAGAATCCTTCTATACTAGAATATAAAATACTCGAAAGATTTTTGAATTTTCAATCTTTTATGTTGAATAGAGAAAAATGGATGGTTATTTAGATTATGAAAAAAATTTGTTACATTACTGTAACTCCTTAAAATTAGGGATGTTTTGAACTGACCAATCATAAACGCTGAAAGAGAGTGAAATTGAACATTTTGTTGTAGTTTTAATGACAAGAATAGCACAGTATAAGGTTTACGTGATTTTGCAAAGGAACTTCATTTTACTGTCTAGATAGTTACATTACACCCTAACATTTTCATGATATCCCTACATAAAGTTATATTAATGTGTGGCTATGCATATTATAAAGCACACAGGCAATTGTGTTAAGATGATTGGTTGATTAAATAATAAATAAAGTGGTCTGCCTTTTCTTATTGATTTTTGATTTAGGTCACACAGACTCCTAGAACATTGACTTCCTACATACTGGAAGATATGTGGAATCAATAACCTATTGCTGTGTTTTCTTAAGAATAAAGATTTTTTAGTAATGAACCAATGTCTGGAATAATAAGCAAATGCGAATCCGGTTACTTCATACTTCACAGTATATTTGCATTTCTGTGAAAATATTAGGTTGTTCTTAATTAGAAAATAATTTAACTAGATATCTTGAAGCAGATATGATTGCTAGGTTGATGTTTGTAAACAAGGGTAGTGCGTGGTCCAGGGTTCGAACAATTGATCTTTTCACTTTATTGTAATAAAATAAATTTAGTTGTTCACCTTATAAAACAATCGGACAGAACACTTAATAATCATAACGAATTCGGGGTGTGATCAGTAATCATGTTCAGTAGCTGCACATATGTTGTTTCTTGTTGGAAAGGCATCTAGAGAAATTTATCCATAGGTAGTCTACATAGAATTTACAAATGATGAGTCCTCGAATAAACATCCCTGTGAACGTTATGAAGAAAGTGACTCACTCCTTTACTTTGTACCTCTTGAAATGCCCACAGAGAACAAATAAGCAGAGAAATCCCAATTTCCCAAAATTAATTGTTGTTAAGATTTACGCGTCATAACTAATCGTAAGAAATGTTGAACAAATCAGTACTCATCCCAAATTATTGTATCAGTGTATAAACTAAGACTCCAGAATGACGAAGTGTTAAGAATCATATGGCCAGATCAATAAAACAAATATTCTATTTAGCCTTATTGCTAAATGAAAGATTGCCTTTAAGTCACAAGGATTATAAGCAAAGATGGATGGTGGCTAGCAGTGAAATCCAGAACGCATATTTCGTTCTACTTAGGACTCGTCAGTTGGGTGTATCTGCATCCTACAGTTTATGTGTCACTCCAAGACTCGAACACAGTACCGTTCGTTTCAAATGCCACTTAGCTACTGGATCCTGATAGCCACTAACTTTTGCAATTCGGTGACAGATCAGTTGCAGTCCTAATCATCAATGGGGAGATTCAAACAAACCATACAAAATAAAAGATTGTCTAGGAATTTCAAAAGAAAATATTATTTTTTTAACTTTCTAAATTCAATTCTTTTCCTATACGTTTAATTCGGTCAACTTATTGTAAAACTTTCTTAATGGTAAAATTGTTGTTATTAGGTAGAAAATATACAATTGCTTTACAATCATTATAACCTTTTGTGCGTGAATCGATCTATTTACCTTCACAAAATTTGTTATTTTACATTAGTGCAATTATAAATCCAAATTAATATATTGAACAATATAAAGTAAAAATTGTATACAATAACGTTTGTGATTTTGATACTGTTAAGTTCGCTACTTGATTAACGCAGAATACGGTTTACGCCTACGACACTCGAACGTTGGAACTTCACCGTCTCAAATCAGAAGACAGAAGAAAAGCTGGAGAATCAAAATGTACAAAAAACCACGAGTATTTATAGATATTAGCATTTGTTAAATCAATATTATAATTCAGCCAATTCGCAGAGACAAATTATGCTACTGTCCAATAGTAACATGCCACGGCATTCTAGAAAGCTCCGTCATGTTCAGATTGGCTGGAAACTTGTCGGCTCCTTTAGGACTCCTAGAGGCTCCGTTATAGTTCTCGGAAGCCGACTCATTAGTTACGCAATAATTAGTGAATCTATAAGAACTAACTCTGTTTATGTAAGTTTCCCAGGTAATTTTAGAAAAAATTGATATAAAAAACGCATAGTTCACATGAATTAGTGTATAATTATCCTGAAAGAATGTTAGATATTTTCCTTTTTTTCTAATTGTTTATCATACATGCTAAAATGCGGGACTGTCCTAACATTTTGCCTTTTTTATCCATTGAACTACTAATAATAATGGAATGTGGATCGTCAGTTATCATGATTAAAATGTAACAATGTTTAGAATTATTTTAAAAACATACTTCTATAATAATCAGTTGCTCACCTATTACTTATACAATTAGTCAAAATTTGAGTGATCTGTTTTACTCTTACGTAGTTATAGCAGATAAATATATTGATTCATCTAGTACATTCAAAGTATATCGAAAGTATTTATATGCATCGAAAACATTTGACGATATCTTTTATAAATGCATTTTATGCTGTTAAGCTTCGCATAGTCTTTTCCAGTTGCCTTATCATCCGTGAATGTGTCATAGACAAACCCCCGCACTGAGTCACCTTAACGTATATTGATGCATATCAGTAAATTAACTTAATATTGAAGACCAACTTAAAATGGATCTGAATTGTCTATGTTAAATCAGGGAGAATAAATTAGAATTGTAGAAATGTTAGGGCTATCCTATATATATTGTGTAATTATCAAATATTTAGTGACTGGTATTTTTGCATTGTCATTTGATTGTTCGCATTAATTTACATAAAATACATTAAATTAATTATGCATCTGTTACTCAGTTTTTCATCACAAATAACCTAATTATGTACAGACTGTAATTTTCGATTGGTGATATCATGGAGTTCTATAAGTCATCGGTATTATCAAGTGAGTTATTAAATCATGAGAATAGAAAATAAATCGGTTAGCTGCACTCGTGTTCTGACTGGGCTTCGCCGAGGGGAGTATGGAATAATCTACGTGGGCTAGTGGGTGTTAAGACATCTGATCATAGTTGGTGATCATTGATGTTATTGGTCAGGTCATCAGTATCACTGGTATGAAGAGAACTCATAATTTGTAAACCCAATAATTTATTGATCCTATTCAGTGAATCATAACAGTATAGCAACTAATTTACAAATACTTTTTTCCTTTTCTATCAGTTGCGCCACGAATTTTCGCGCCTAATCTTGTTGTGACTTTCCCACCAGTCAATGATCACTTGAGAAAATCGTCAATCAGAATACCGAATGAAGTGACCTTGTTCCTATGCTAAGTCAACGACACATCAAGCAGAACTAGCAGCCTAAATTCAACTCCGAATCCTTACTAGTCTTCTTGTCTAGCCCAGCCCGTTCAGTTCAGAACACAATCTCAGTATCCACTGTTCGAATTGTACATTTCAGACATACGTGTTTTATACACACGCAGACAAGACCGCATTTCATCATCAAATGAAAAATAATAATTATACAAGGTCAACAGAAAAGTGGCTGTGTATTTGTTCATTACAGTATTTGTGTTCATGTACTCATTCAGTGACTGGAATCAGCAACATTCCAGATAGAAATTGTAAGCCGCAACCCAGTGACCACATTAAAGTGAGTTTACTTACAAACCTGATTTTAATGCCTAAATAACCATAAAAGGCTATTCATCACAGTTCTATTTAGCTATCTAGCTTACCACAAAGAACATGTCGTCAATAATTATCAGATATTCAATGTTATCAACTGGGGTGATACTGAAAATGTATCTCTATAAGGTAATTAACAGGTGAATGTGAAAGTTAATTGAGGATGGATTATTATGCCTTTCAAAAAAATTCTTATGGTCTATATAGTTGTATTATTTTTAATAAATGAAAACAACGTGGACCGAAACTGAACCAATTTCTTAATGTCATATAATTTTAACATCTAAAAATGATAATCAGTTTGTTTGTACCAAATAGGATTCAATATTTAGAAATATTTAGTTAGTATATTACTATAATAATTATTTTGTGGGTCAGACCTTTAGGTCGAAGGCTCCGGGTATGGCCCCCTAAGAAAACCACCTGTTTCAGTTTGGGTACCCGGACAGTATCCCAGCCCTCACACAAATCGAATGATTTTTGTGGTGCATATATATTTGGTACCTCGTTGTACTAATGTTTATGTGTTTAAATAAATAAACGCTCCATATTTACTTTCATTCATTTTTTTCTCTAGAAATATTTGCTGAAACTCTCTTTTGGATAACAGAAGAGAAACACATTCTAGATGCTTATTTAAAGCAAACTTTCATGTATCTTTTAGAATATGATCATTGGTGTGAAAACATAAAAGAATTCATCAATAAACCGTTTCTTTTTCAAATATGATCAATTGTATTTTCAATCTTGTTATTTTATAGCATAGATTGAACCCGTAAAAATTGAATTGATCTATCTTTATGATTTTTTTCAAGATTATCCTCTAGAAGTTTAAAGATTTACGATTATCAATATGAATATACCAAGAATGGGAGAAAAGTTCCAGCATAAAATAATGGTGGGAGTGAAACTTTAGTTATTTTTCCTTCCCCACTTTCTGATTCTCATAAATATCAACGAGAATTCTCTTTCCTTGGTCAATGTTTCCTTTTTAGTTTCAGTTCATTTTTCATATTTCTAGAATATTCGCAAAATAACATTAACTAACTCCGAAAAAACCCTTTGATTCAAACGAGAACGTGTGTCTAGTAGAGTTAACCTATGTAGAGATTAATACAAATATTATTGGGGGTAATAAATGGAGGCCGTGTTTAAGAATGAATAGACCTATGC